GAATTACAAATTAGAGCTTTTGCAACGCCTTGTTATAATGGCTGCTTCTGCTGCATAAAATCCAACTGGTGCGTCGTGGAATGACACTGATTATGCATATAACCTTCTAATAGCGTGTTAATATTCAGATTTTCAGAGCGTTTATTTGCACACGCTGCTCGTAAATACTAAAGAGGTCCTAGTGAGAATCATAAGATTATGCTTTAATCTTGATGTAAGTTTGAATACTGAATTAATGATAGCGTTTATCAAAACAGGGTATAGTGCTACTGGGGTGTTTACTCCAGGACTCGTTCTCTGATTGAGAAAGACTGTTTTCACTGACGTGGTAACCCTGTAAATGCAGTAAATGGTCGTTCCACCCAGTTCTACTACCATCACTACTCATACAATTCTACAGGTGATTTCTAGATAAACTTAAGTTACAGTGAAGAGTTAATATTGAGATATATGTTAAGAGTCTTACGGCAATGCCTGGTGGAATTTAGAAATCAGTGGTTGGATTTTTTTTTACCTTTTATTCATGTCATTTTTCGCCTCTAGTGCATCGGAAGAGAAGTGACTGTACTCTCAAATATTTTTTCTTGGTACGTCCAGGTTGTTGAATTGGAACATTTCGATCAATTTCAGTCCGGAGAGATTCGATCAAATATCCCGTCTCGCGATAGCAGGTTAATTAATCCGCGGATCAAAATTGATCAATCAGGATATGTTTTTGAGGTTGATATACACCAAATTTCAATACGTATAAAATTAGAGGGTTAGTTCATCCCATTAGGAAACATCTCACTGAAATGCCATGTGATGGGTGAATATCAGGGAAACAGGTTGAATTATAGGTATGGTTGCCATTTTATCATGTTCTTGACCATAAACATCATGATACGTTCCATAAATTTGAGTATTTCTTATCAATTTACCAATAACGGTCGGTCTAATGAACTAACCAATTAGAACGAGAGAAATACTAGGTTGATTTTCTATTATATTTAATAGTACGCTTATATTTTTTTGGACGTCTGTCAATGCATGGCAATCATGAGCTTTTTATATTTATGTATAGAGTGTTCACACATATATTACTATACACATCTGTTGAAATGTGCGGATTTGTTTTTATTTTGCAGAGAAGGGATATAAATTCAATTCAACTGCTTCTTCATCATTTTTTTTACTACACAATAATATCAATTTATTTTCGCAGATATTTTTCATTTATTCATCTTCGCGGTCCAGAATACAATAGAATAGACTACGAGTATAAACAAAAATGACGTCAAGTCACGCCACAACTTCTAGTACAAATTTCCATGTAGTGCAATGTCAACAAAAATACGTAGGCTTCATCCGAACCATTAAAGCACTATGTGGGCTTCTAACGGAAAGAAAATGCTTTTTCCATGAGCAGGTCCAGTTGCCTCATTTCCTTGAAGGTGTAGTGTCAAAGTGTCAACAATGCTTGGAAACTGATGATAACAGCTCTTGATGTGTACTCCTATACTATCTACCACATTATATAATCCGAGTCTTACCTCGCGAAGTCAAGAAACTTTATGAACCTAAACTCCAATCGTCATGGTCTTATATACAGGGTGTTAATAAAGTATGTAGACAAACTTTAACCATTGAATCCTTGGTCAGTTTGAAGACTACATGTTTATATGAACATGGGTCCGTAACAGCTTTCTTTTCGAGCTAGAGCACTATCACTAAAGAAATACGAGTAATGTTCCAAATATTTCTATGAATAATGAAACGTATTTATTGAACAGTTGGTATAACTTTTGCATGTTTTACAAGTTGCTGAGTGTGAATATGAACGTGGTTGAAAATAGTATTATCCTGTATTCTTGGAAAGAAAATTCATTTAGAAGGTCAATAGTTTTGAAAAGTAACATCTAATAGAACGACAACAATAGAAAATATCGAATAGTTTTTTTTACAATAAATGTTCAAACTGGCCACGAATTAATTCAATTGTTATCGGGTACGTCAAAGGTGTCTAGATAAGTACAATGCTTAAATATTAAAAGTATTGCGATCGAAACAAATCAATGTAATGCTATTTCTTCAAAAAATACTGGAATAACATTATCCGTATCTATGTACATGGAGGGTCTGAAAACAACTGTAAATCATGTAATATTTACCACATTCTTTTATAATTTTTCTGAACAATATCATCATTTCTGTTAGTGCTAATATGCTCTAGCTTGAAAGCAAATCCATTGCGGACCCATGTTCATACTGAAATTTCGTCTTCAAATTTACCAAGGACTCGATGGTTGAAGTTTGTATACATACCTTATTAACACCCTGTGTAGATAATATCACGCCCACCTCGTATGTGCATATCGCGTCGTCTGCTACCTGCTTTTCTCTTGGCTCTAGTACCAAAGATGCAATGTTTACAACCCCGTGGCGCCCGGCTAGCGCGATCCTCTGCCGAAATAATTTTCTGTATTAAGTGCAATTTTATGGGGGAATCTATGATGTGTAATTTGTCTAATAGTTACGTAGAATACTGGGGTTGTAAGTGTATTAATATAGTAACTTAAAAAAAATACGATACAATCTCCCCACCACCTCAATTTACCACTAAAGTTTTTTTCCAAAAACTATCTCTTGATCTTTCATTTAAAACATCAAAAAACGAAGTTTGAGAAATTTTTGTTTATTTTGTTTTCGTCAATTTTCTAAAGAAACTAAAACCAGAAAGCTTTGTTGTCCTTGGCATAGTAGTAATGACAGATCGTCTGAAACGAGTGACATGTTAAGTGATTTACACGCCATATAACATCCAAAAAAAATACTTTCTCATTTTCAAGACTTCGTGACTACAAAACTTCCTCGCCAGTAGGCGCGGGAAGTAAAATAAAAGTAAGAGATTATTCGGAAGGCGACCCCTAAATTATCTTGATTTTTCTAAATATAAAAAGAATCAGAAATAAAAATAAAGCAAACCGTAATTGCAATTCCAGCGAAATGAGAACGATAATGTTAGAAACATCCTCTCCTTTCTCATAGAATATTGGATAAAGGTAGAAATATGGGTTGAATGCCCGAATATCTACGGATTATCGTTGGCTGGTCGATCGTAGGGATATTCGCCGATTTTCTGCTGTTATGCTGTTTACCAGTATCAAGATATTTAGTTACCCGCCGTGGTGGTGGTCCTGAGGTTATGAGGTTGCAATCAGAACGTAAAAAAATCATGATAGAAACGTTTTTTGGTTTTTGTCGAGCTTTAAAAAGAAAAAAAATTATCTTTGTTCACGTCGATCATTCAAAAATGTTATTCTTCAGGACGCACTACAATTGTATGACAATTTCCATCGATCACAATATCATAATAAATATTGTCTTCTTCCTAAGTCTTCTTTAGTAGTGATCCAAAAACGGAGAACAAACCATTGATGTGACCCGTACATTGCTGATTCTCAATAGTCCATGTTTACGCCGTTTCTGAATTGTCTAGAAAGAGGACTCCAATGTTGTAAGCAAAGATTTATGATATTGTGTTTACTTCTATTACAAATAAGAAACTGTGAACGTTTTACGCCAAAATAGCTGAATAGATCTGGATGAAATACGGTACAGACATATATATATATATATATATATATATATATATATATATATATATATATATATATACAGGGTGACTTTGAAGTTGAGTCATTAATTTTCAGATAATGATTGTAGAAGGAATATAAACCAGAATATGTGTGTAAAAATAAAAAAAAATTAAAAAAAATTGTTTACCTTGTTTTATAAAGTATCCTCCCGACAAGTATTTCAGTGCGGACCTGTATTTGATCGTGAGGTCCCCTGTGAGGTCTTAAGTCACCTGATTCACGAGCCCGTTGTACTACATTAACAAAGGCACGAGGGGTTGGTTGCACTCGATTGGGAAACCGATCCGCATAAACATGTGCCATTTTTTATTTCGTTTGAGCCACGCAACAGATACCACCATTCACTGACACTGATTGTATACAAATGAATGAGATACTTGTAAAAACATCGTTCCAAATTCTTTCGCTTTTTTGTTTCCGATGCGATGAACCGATACGGCGGATTATATCCGTTGTCGCCAAACACGACCACATAATATTGTTATTGAGACAGGGCGGTACTCAAACTTACAAAGGGCTATAACTTTGTTACTTTAATTTTACCAGGAAAATGGTAAAGGAAAAAAACATTTCTTTTGATCAGATCTACTCACTGTTAAAATAAATGACTCAACTTCGAAGTCACCCTGTATATATATATATTATATATATATGTATATATATTTACGTTAACATTATTTTTCCTGGGCGTTTTCTTGATTTAGATTTGTTTGATGTTTTGTTTCATTTTAGGTTCCACTGTTCTGTTCAGGGTGGTATTTATTTTTCTAAGCAAGAATTTATTATGTGAGTGACATGAAAGAAAGTCATAGGAAGACTTACTTTGATGGTAGTTAGAAATAGAGTGTCAATTTCCATAGATCATTTTGAGGTGACATTTGAAGTCATCGAAAAATTACTTTTATGCTAAAACTTTTCTTAGAACATTTTTACAAAAAAAAACGCGTGGTTGCCATTTTTTCTGGGTATTCGGGTATTCCATAGACACCCTGCAAATATAAACAAATTCGACGATTAGTTCGCAAATAAAACAATGCCTATAACCTTCCCCGGGTATAATTTTTGTAGAAATGTTTACGTCTCGTATTGTTCTTAAGACTTATGATGTTGATGAACTGAAGAGAAGTTCACGTTTATGTATTGTTGCATTAAAATTTTGAATAAAGAATAACTAATTCTGATTTTCAATAGCTCGACATGAACAAGGAGAACTGTCTTTCGGGCTTGAATTTATTTGCGTCTAGGTCCAAGACCATCTTACCTGTATTTTAACTAGTCAGTCAATACTATCCTTCTTCTTCCTCCTCCATAAGGCTAAATAAAGAGACTCAGCTATGATGCAAATTACGGCACCGCTATGATGACCATCTCATATGTAGAGATACTTACGCCCCTTTTACACGATCCGGTTCCCGGCGCGCGTCTAGTGCTGGACTACTCTTCGAAGGTCTATTGTTATTCGAGTTTTCACATGGTGGTTCTGCCACTGGAGAGTAGAGACAAATACAAATTACTAATACATTTATAAACTTACCTTATTGTAATGGCAAGTATTTCCATAGGTTGGATGGAGTTCCTCATGTCTGTATATTGTTTTTGCAGGTCGCCTTTCAGTTTGTCATAAAGTCCATAAAATGATTTGACATACGAAAGTACGAAAAGAATCTTTTCTCACTATTCCACAATGAATTGAAAAAGACTTTGAAGGACCTAGAAGCAGAAGCAGCTGGCCCTTAAGTTCTGCAGAGCTGCAGAACTACCAAAACTTTTGTCTTAACAGAAAAAAGCAGTAGTAATTTAATCATTATTTATTTTCCGTGCTATTGTGGACTGATTAATTTTTCTGCTGAGCTTGATACAACCTTAAGCGAACACTTAAAAAATGCTTCAATATTTAAAGGAACTTCGAAAGAAATACAAAACGATCTACTAGATTGTATTCTTGAAGTTTGTCATGAAGAAATAATAAAACATATTAACATTATTTGGCGATAATAGCAGATGAAACAACGGACATTTCGGGGAAAACCCAACTGGTAACAATTTTCAGATACGTATTTAACGGCGAACCAGTAGAACGTTTTTGGAATTATATGAATCCCGAAAAATGTGACGCTGATACTCTCACAAGACATATTTTGAGCGTCGTAGATCCATTAATAGGAATTTTCCCTAACAAACTGATTTCACAAAGCTATGATGGAAACAAAGATATCCATTTGCTCACTATGTGCATTGCTATGCGCATCAGTTAAACGTGATTATGTCCCAAGCTGCTTCCGCAAATGCTCAAGTTCGGGTGTTCTTTGGGGATTTGAAAGATATTCCGGGATTTTTTAATAATTCTCCTCAATGGGTAGAGGTACTGAACAGAATTGTGGGAAAAAAATAAATGTAGTGTTTGAGAACAGAGAATCACTCATTGAATGCATGGAAGAAATAGAAGAAAATTTCATTAATGAAACCGTTTGCAAGGCAGCTTGCGGTATTCGCCGTATGTTAAACGATTTTGTTTTCGTGTTTTGGTTGACATTTTTCCATCATGTCATGCCTCACGTCGACATCTTGTTCAAGTTGCAGAAGAGAAAAACCGAGCCAGCGCAAGTTAAAACGGATATCGATAATTTTGAAAAATGTATTGTCGATGTGAGAAATAAAACTGATGACATAATAAATGAAGCCAAAAGTATTTGCGCTGATCCCCAAGGCAAAAGGAGACGACGTAATAATACCATTCACGATCACCGAGTTGCCGCATTAGAAGTATGCAACAATATAGTGAATTCTGCAAATGACAGATTTCAATTGCCTAGAAGTATGCCTAGAAGTATGTCGATTTTGAAGCAATGCGTGGATCCAAAACCGCCTATTTCTTCTTCTTATTCGCCGTTTACATAGCAAGAACATGGCTAGCACTTTCTTCCTCCGAGCTGTGTTTATTTTAATAGCCAGCCTCAACTGAACAGTCAAAGTCCTTAGGTTTGTGCTTTTTAATTCGCTTGTTCTAGCCTATGTTATAAATAGGAGGTACTTGTAAAATAATATGACCAGTACACAATCGTCTTCTGTTAAGCAAAGTCGCGTTTTTAAAAAGTCGTTTGTTGTTTGCATATTCATAATTTGTATGGAACCAATCTGTCACCGTGCCCGAGGTTGTAGTGGTTCAGTGATGTGTGCGACGTTATGGTGAATGTGCTAAGACATTTGCCAACTATGTTAGAGTTTGAATCGACTCTGATCACGCGTCGGGGTATGGTCGCCTTAAGCGTTTTTCTTCAAGTTTTTCTTAGAATTGCTCTTTCAATAAACCGAGTTCTCTCTCGAATCTAGCGTTATTTACTTATCGATAACCCATCATCTGAAGATTGGATAATCGGCAGCTCAAGTGTGAGGTTGCCCGCCTGTTAGCTATCATCGATGACTCATCTATTAACGAAAACACTAACTCAACAAATTAACATTATTTGTATGTTATCCATTCAAACGTACACACACAAACAAATATCTGTCGAAAAAATTATTCCATAACAAATACTGCATTTCACCCATTTCACTTTATGGATGATTGTTGACACTGTTTGCGTTCAATGACGTAATTCAGTTCTATTCAACTGTGAGCTACTACTGCTGTGAGCTAACGTGTCGTACACACAGAAACAGAGTGTCATTCAGTTGACGTTACGTAAACATGAATTAATTTATATTTTATTACCGTCCCACATCACTTATTTCGAATGTCAATTATCCATTGTTGAAAATATAAACAGAAAATAAATATTATAAACATAACATTTACACAACTAAATCTCCGTAAAATGAAAATTTTCTTGTAAATTGTAGTTTTTTGCAGGAATCAGGTTTGCTGGCTGCTTTACGACAAATATTTGGATGTCTCTCGGCAACTTATGTATGTTATATATTGGCCACGTCTACATCTAACTGAGTTCGAATTGAATACAATTCTAAATCCGGTATTCCGTCGGCAGTTTTCAGGTCGATTTCAATTTCTTTTGAGTCCTTGTTCTGATCGGCGAGCTAAATGTCATACCTAAGGCCCGTATCGTCAGTCGTTCTTACAGTTGTAGGATGCCTATATGGTCTCCTTGATTTTCATAGTCTTTTCTCTCCCTCAGAAAGGCAGGGATATTTTTAGATTTCTATTGTTCTGTGCAAGCGACAGCGCTCTCTTATTGTCAGGCTGTGTTTTATTCTTGAATTATAGGAAATAACCTTAAAATAGAGCGCTGACACAGAACAGAACAAAATTATGAAAATCAAGGCCGTAAAGCCGTCCTACAATTTTATCGTAGGAACGACTGACGATACCCTAAGTCTCATTTATATAAATGTATTGAAACATCCATCACTTTCAAAATAAGTGAATTTATTACTAAGATTTCTCAGGTCGGCCATGACAATCATTATGTTTCAGATCAAACCGATTCACATTCGATCTCACGAACAAGCCGTATCGACCTTGAAACGTGGATTCAATTTCGATCCTAATTCCAGAGCATGCAGTATTCAATACCAAAATCGAAACTAGTTCGGTAACGTCGTAATTATTACTTCAGGGTACACCGCATGAAGACTTCACTGATGAGCAGCAACTAAACTTAGGGATTTGTGGAAACAAGCAATACAGAAATTTTTCTCTCGATGTGAGTGAAAGTTACCTGTAAGTGATCTATGGGATAAGCGCACGACAGATGATATTAAGCCAGTATAGTCACACAGAATTTACATATGTATAATGAAACATCAATAAACTGAATTGAATTTCATTCATAAATTAAACATATGTCTGAAGTTTGACTGCATTTTATGTAATTTGTTCAAAACTCAATAGACTGCTGACGTTTAAGTGGTAAGCTGTAATCTCATTCTTTCACAATAGCCACTGGCTATATTTGATGGACTCTTTTGTTCTGTTACTTTATTGGTGGAAAATACCAGTATTTTATGGATGTTGACTTGAGGCTATTCCCTTCAAAATATCTCTGAAATTAGGGGAATTATATCATTTATACAAGAAGTGCCTCTAATCCCCATATTAGGTCAAGAAATTCTTGTTAGCTCATAACCTATTTTTTTATTTGATTCGAGGGGCAAAATTAGCTTCTAGAGAGTAAAATCTACCAATCAGAAAGAAGTACCGTATAACCTCGGCCAGTGACCAAATCTGATGCAATCGATTGATATGACAGTGATTGCTGACCATTTTATTCAAAATAACAATGTTATCACTTACCTGAGAGATAGTGGATATATGTACGAGCCCTTTCTCAATGAAGGTGGCCCAACTATCAGAACTACGTTTTTTATGAAATTTGTCATATTAGCAGAAACGTATTAAAAACTAAAATAAAACTTTGTATTTCTGATAACATACGAACGTATTCTTTAATATTAACCTAAACTGCTAAACTTCTTTGTAACAAAGAAAAAATATCTTAAGAATTCAAAAAAACTGCCAATTAATAAAAATCAACGAAACCAAATAGCAGCAAATCACAACTGCGTTACATCGCTTTTTTGATTGATTACTGCTTCGATACGTCTTCACATAGTGTCAACTAGTGTTTGGCAGTCATCTGGTGTAAAAATGTTCCAAATTTTTTGGAGACGGGTCCGAAATTTTGGAACGGTGATTAGACGGCAATTGAGTATATTTCTCATCAGAGCAATAAAGATTTAAATACAGTTAATTACAGTGTCATAGAAGCAGCTCGAAAAGAAGATTGAGTAATTAAAGTACATAATCAAGTAAAAGTAAAATAGTTATGAAAGCTCCAACTCTAGCAAATGCTGAAATTACCGAGATATTCACTGACTGAATAGTAGCGCTCTTGTGTTGAAGTTGTTCTTATCCTTTTTTTAAATAGCGATGTCGGTAGTTCCTTTACGCTATACGGCAGCTTATTAAAATACTGTATGCCCATAGGTGCAGGGATTTGCAGAACTAAAGGGTTACTCGTCACGTCATTAGCCTAATGACTTTATTTTTCAAAGTGAATACACTGGTGGCGTCACTAGTAGCTCGCCAGGCAATTTCTCCGTACGAATAGAAACAAGCGAAGTACGACTGATTCTTCTGTCTGAAATTGCAGCTGGCTTATACAGAATAATATTATACGCAAGCTTTTTGAATATATTGACATGTGTCTTCCAACCACAGTTTTTTCAACAGACGTAGATATTTTGCTGATTGAACCTGCTGGATAGAGCTGTCTGGAAATTTTATCAGGAGACTGATCAAAAGGAATGTGAAAATTGAGGAATTGTGTTTTTCTAGCATTTAATACTAATCCGTTTTCCTCAAACTACGGTCGCACCCTTTTCTGCTCAGTGGTGCCTCTTAGCACAAGCTGAGAGGTGTTGGAGGCACTTATTAGGATTGAAGTGTCATCAGCGTACATTACGTGTTGCTCACTATGAAAATCGTTGAGGAAGATAACGTATAGGAGTGGGCCTATAATCAAACCT